CAAAGTGATCTCAGCCCAGCATTCAGACACGCCATGGGAGACAAGGGGAGACGAAGCATCTCAGCCCAGCATCTAGACACGCTATGGGAGACAAAGGGAGACAAGGGAGACAAAGCCAAGTCATCTCGGCCCAGCATCCAGACACGCCATCCACACACGCCATGGGAGACAAAGGGAGACAAGAGAAGACAAAACAAAGTCATCTCAGCCCAGCATCCAGACACGCCATGGGAGACAACTGAGACAAGGAGAGACAAAGCAAAGTGATCTCAGCCCAGCATCCAGAAATGCCATGGGAGACCAGGGAAGCCGAAGGGAGACAAAGCAAAATCATCTCAGCCCACCATCCAGACGTGCCATGGACACAAGGGGAGACACAGGGAGACAAAGCAAAATCATCTCAGCCCACAAAGCAAAGTCATCTCAGCCCAGCAGACACGCCATGGGAGACAACAGGGAGACAAAGCGAAATCATCTCAGCCCAGCATCCAGACATGCCGTGGGAGACAAGGGAGACAAAGCAAATTCATCTCAGCCCAGCATCCAGACACGCCATCACAAACAAGGGGAGACAAGGGAAGACAGAGTCCCATGCAAGAGTTGAGCACCCTCAACAGCAAAGCTGTTTGGGGAAATATGAAAGAGAAGAAGAGGGAGAAAAAGAGAATGAGAGAGAGGCGCATGTCTGGATATATGCGCAGGTGTACATGTGAGGATGCGCATGTCTGCGGATGTGAAGACGCGCATATCGGGGCGCGCACAGATGTGAAGATGCGCAGATGTGCAGTGAAGACGCGCAGGTCTGGGTACGCCCAGGTGTGAAGATGTGAAAGCGCTCATGTTTTTGCCCCCGCTTTTTACCGAAGAACCCTCCGCTCAGGCGCTGCCCGGCGCAAAAAAGAACAATGACTTGCAAACGATGTTCGTCAAAGTTGGGCCAGTTTGGAAAACGTTGTTTCTCCTGCAAGCGCCTGTGAAGGGTTCTCTGCAAAGAACGGCTGCCCACTATCGTCGTTATCACCACCGTCATCATCACCATCATCATCATCACCATCATCGCCACCGCTATCGTCAACATATTCATCACATTCAGCATCAGCGTCACCATCTTCATTCATATTAAGGTGCAGAAGCGCAGATGATTGATATGATCATCCATCGTCATCATCACCATCATCATCCGGCGCACAGATCAAGGTAGGTGACGCAAATGCTATAGCACACCTACATAGGTACATGAGCGTCATGATCGTCCAGGGCGAGGAGAAGGAGGAGGATTCCGGCGCGAGTATAAGAGGATTGTAGTTGAAGATCATCAAACTGCGCGTCCCGAGAGTTCAGCTCCCAACTGGTGTCTCGCCGTCCAGGAACCGCTGCAAATGAACTGATCGTATGAAGGCGTGGAGAAGCCTAAATAAAAAAAATTGCCTGGGCACTGTAACGCAGATGGAAGGAAAGGCACACATCCCGTCCCTCCCGCGCACAGATTAACCCGCCAGGTGTCCAAGGCGCCAACGGTGCTACAAAGGCTTGCTCAGGGGGTGAGAACATTTTGGCAAAGCTCTCCACGGATGGATGTCCCACGCGGTCTTCCACCAGTCTTCCGTTGGCTTCGTTGGGCGCCCCCTGCAACGCACCTAATTCAGAAGACCAAAGGCCCCCTCTGATTCGAAGGGTCACACACACACGCCTTTTCCTTGAGTTTGCTGTTTTGTTAAATTTCGTAACCAGTAAATTTACCTAATATTTACTATTTACTTATCAAGACTTAGATTAATGCTGCAATAAAAAATAAGAAGCTTTAGTTTTCAACGTAAAATATATTTAGTTGACAAGGTAAATCAATTTATTGGTAATCAATTTATTTTGGTTGTCCAGAACGGTCCAGAATGAAGGGCTTTTTCTTTGCACTGGTGGCTAGGTGTTGCAACTTTTTACTTGAATGCTTTTCTGGAACAGACTAGACTCACTCCTTTTGGTTTCTTGCGCAATGGCCTGGCTGATGTGGGGCGGTGAAAGAAAACACAGGAACTAGGTTTTCTTGAGAGATGGCATAGCTCTTTATTTGAGACAGCTTTTGTGAAATGCATCACCTCCAAATTACTTGAGAAGTGTTGCAGTATATATTGAAAGAAAGCTAGGAGTCAGTTTACTTGAGAGAGGAGCTTGCCGCAACCAATTTACTTAAGAAGCGTTGCAATATTTATTGCAGCTCATGTGCCTTGAGAGACGCCTGGCGCGATTTACTTGGCAAGTGTTGTTTGATCTATTTGAGAAAAGGTGCGGGGCCACACGATGTTGCTGCGTTTACTTGAGAAAACTCGAAATTCTTCATTTGAGAGAGGAGCCTGGGTGTATTTTCACAACTAAGTTACTTGAGACGCGTTGCATTGTTTTTAGGTACAAACTCTTTTTACTTGAGGGACTTGAGGGAGGTCTTGTGGTGTTTTCGAGGTTGTTATCTTGAGACAAGAAAGTGATACGTGTAAATAGTCACCTTGACAAGAATTGCTCACAAGTACATGATCATATTGACAAGAACTGTTCACAAGTAAATGGCAGCTTTGACATTTGAACTGTTCACAAGTAAATAACAATCTTGGGATAGCACCTGTTCACAAGTAAGTGGCAGTCTTGGCAGTTGAGCTGTTCACAGGTAAATGACCATCAACGTTCACAAGTAAACCACAATGTGGACAGCAATATTGACACAGGACCTGGTCACGAGTATTTTTTCCACAAGTGAATGGCCCACAAGTAAGTGAAAACTTTTCAAAAGCCATGTTCACAAGTAAGCGCAATCACAATTACAAGTATGTTTCATGACCAATTCTTTTCAAAATGGTAAAACATGTATGTTCAATTTCCATGCATCTTTATACTGTTTGCATGCAGCTATTGAAACTACATGTAGATTTGAAAACTGCATATAAACTATATACATAAAAAGTGCGTGAAAAGTTAAGACAAAACATGCAACATGTAGTTAAGCATATTGCAGCGCAGGTTCTTGATATAGACTCCAGGCTCACTTTAGTGGGCTGCACCACAACGTGTGTAGAAATCAAACAAATCTTTGCCGCGCTGACGTCATAGAGTGCACCTGCTCTGTGCAAGAAACTCATAGCACTCGATGTAGAATTTCACAGGTCAGGGTTTATAGTCAAAAGTTATGTTTGAAAAAACTATAAGTTTTTTGAAAAGACACCAAAAAACAAAACCTACAATCCCGCAGAAAGATACCAGCAAGGTGAATCCAGAAGTTTGGACTCAGGAAACATTGTACAAATACTAGGAACTATGCAAACATACATACCAATCAAGCAAACCCTGGGCTCAACAAACTGCGCATGGCGCACGGCCATCTGTGAGTCTGCGTGAGCCAGCTCGTCTCTTTTTTCTCCTGTGACTAGCGACTTCTGCCTTCAGTCTATCATCAGCTCCGTGGCTTTGTTGGGTGACAAACGCTTCGCTCAAGCATCTTGCCCTACACCACGCAAACAACAAAGGTTTGAAAGGCAAGGCCTTTCACTTGGAGGCTGAAGTATTTTGCTTCTTGCCATTGCAAAACATCGGCTATCGTTCCAAAAAAAAGCTATAGTTAAAAACAAGGAACCATAACTGGCAGCGCTGGCTACAAACAAGATTGTAATTCCAAAGCAAAAGCTAGTATATATTCCGATTCAAAAAAAATCAAAAAAGAACCATGCCTGGCAGCGCTGGCTACCAAAAAGTTATGATTCCAAAAAAAGTTATAGTTCCAAAAAAAGAACCATAACTCGCTGCACTGGCTACCAAAAAGTTATGATTCCAAAAAAAAGCTATAGTTCCAAAAAAAGAACCATAACTCGCTGCACGGGCTACCAAAAAGTTATGATTCCAAAAAAGTTATGATTCTTTTTTTCTTGTTGCTCACTTCAGACATGGATTTACTTACTGATTTGC